TATGGATTAATTAGATGGTCATTCAATTTTTTTCCTTTAAAACTTGACTTGTTACCACTTTTTAATTTTTTTTATACATAATATTGTTTGCATCGTCTTACAAAACCAGGGAGCTCTCCTTAACTGATGGCAGCCATACGAAAGGAAAACGTTGTATGGCCCATCTATTTTCGATTAGGAACTAAGAACCACTACTGTATATACTCGCCTGTCACTATCGAATTCAACATGTAGATGTAACTCAATCAAACTAGTTTTCTTTCATTTAAAAAGGGAAATAAGATAGGCCAGAAAAAAAAAAAAAAAAAAAAAAAAGAAAAAAAAAATAACATGAAAAGGAAAAGCACGTATACGGGAAAACAAATTGGCTATGGCCATTTGAGCTCTATTGGGATTTAGACGGTGCATGAACCTGTACAAATCATGCATTCAACTAGATAGGTGTACTGCCTTCAATTTTGTCGTTCAAATTATTGGGTTCAGAAATTGCCATCTTTTACTTACATATATTTAGTGACATGTTCCGTATTTTTGTGGTCGAGAACTCAGTGCATCTTTAAGAAGGGAAGATAGATGAGTTTCAAAGGACGACCGGATAAAAGGCTACCTATAGTATCATGAGGTCAATCTAGGTGCATTTCCCTCGTGGGAATAAGCTATATCTAGTGAAACATCACATACATCCATTGCTACAACATTATCATCTTAATTGTTATATATACAAGTTGTATATGTTTTTCTTTTGTGTTATGGGTATAGAAATTGTTAAAAGCATTGTACCTTGTTGTCTTTTTGATACAAGTATTAGGCGACGGAGAATTGAATAAAGAGCTTTGGGTGCATGTGTAACCGCTCATTATTATTATTTGAGCCACAAACCGGATTACTTGCATACTGCTTTTACCTTTGCAAAGGCCAAAGGATGCTTTAGCATTTTTCTATAAATAAAATAGAAGATTAGGTAGATATAAAAAAGGATGATTTAATTTGCATGGTTCATCAAACCTTCAAAAATTGATCACAAATTCAAAGCTAATGTTGTTACATGCATGCATTTCTCTCGTTACATTTTCTGGTTATCTTTCATTAGTACAAGTTCATAAAGAGATTGTAAATATTACTGATAAATATATTAAGTGTTCTAATGCGTGTCCCTCTTGTTCTTAACACAGCCTTTTTGACCGAGTATATATAATTTTATTTTTCGATTAGCCCTCGTGCATATGGTTGCATTTTTCTCAGAGTCTAGAATATCTTTACTTAGGAATAAGCCATAGCCATACTCAATTGGAGTGATGGAACGAGAAAGTTAAGCTTTAAAATTTTGATCATTCCTTTACTTATAATTGTTAATTTATAATCATTTTTCTACAAAAATTCATTTCAAATCAATCAATCAATACAAAAAACTTAAAACTCTTAATGAGATGAGAGATTGTGCAAGTAGCTTATAAGTAGTTGGCTACTCCTCATATTGTCAATTGATTTTATGGTGGAACCTCAACTTCTTCATGGTATTAGAGCATGTTGTTGTCTCACGTGTAAAGCCTAACGGTCACACGTGCTCCATGTCACCAGAGTTGTGTAGTCCATGAGTTAGGCTTAAAATTTCACCACACGTGAGGGAGCGTATTGAGAATGAATCCCACATTAATAAGAAGATGGACCTTGCATGTGCTTATAAGTAATTAGGCTACTCTTCATATTATATTGCATGTTGGTTTTATAGTGGAACCTCAACTTCTTCAAAAAATACTTACATGATTGGAATTCCATGATACTACCAAGTGCTATGAATGGTGTCTGACCAAACTTGAACACGAAGAAGCTTTGAATTCCAAGATATGAAGTGTGGGTGGATAAGGCGTTTGCAAGTTTGATAAGTCCTCAGATTGTTTGAGAATTAGCATGCTAAACTTTTTTTTTAAGTGAAACAGAATACAAACGACGTAGTTTTGATTTGTGTCAATTTAAAGAAAATTGATTAAGGGTCTCCATATTTCATTTGTCTTAACTAGTATAGGGGTCAAACGAAATTTCAAATAGAGGATTTTATATGTTATTGAGGTCAGCAGCAGCCAATGCCCCCATAATTACTTCGCCACTGCTTCATTGTATATTTATATTTATTTTCATAACATGTACAAAATAGTTCATTTATTGTATGCTAGCATAAGGCATTAGGGTTAGCTTAGTAGTTAAGGGGTCGATTTCAAAAACTATTTGCGATAAAAACCCTAATTATAACTATGTGCGTGTGTATACACACAAATATACTTTGACCAAAAGAAAAGGGGAAAATACACAGAAAACAAATGGATAAATACGTACATTAAACCAGACATGAATTCCCATTGAAAAGCAATAAACCAATTTAAATATCCACTTGTAAATAATTGTGGTGTTGAACTGGCAATGCTACAGCGTAAAACGTCACGAAGATAGGCCATGTCCGTGGTGCATGAACCAGGATCATCTCCTGAGCAGTTTCCTAGGGATCCTAGGGATTCCGCAATCATGTTCGTTCATCGTATATCGTGCGGTCAGTTTTCGTTAGGTACTATTCATATTTGAATTTTAAAATTTAAATTTTAAATAATTTCTGACCGCACGATATACGATAAACGGACATGATTGCGGAATCCCTAAGATCCTAGGGAACTGCTCAGAGAGGGTCCTGGTTCCGTGGTGCATTGTATGAAGCCAGCCAAGTGTCACTTTCAATGAAACGAAGAAGTTTGAAGTGATTTTTAATATTGGAAAAAATAAAACAAACATCCAAAACAAAAATAAAGAAAAAATAATAGTCAAGTTCAATAATATAAGTACACTTTCAACTGATGCGTACAGTTTCAGTAGTATCGGTGGAAAAAAAATGCTTATCTTAATTCAATTTCTTATTCGAACTTGTAAGCCGTTGTCAATTTCTTTTATGAACTTTAGTTTTACCCAATTACTTTTCCTGAACTTTTATATAATTTTTTTCTTCTTCTCCTCTTCCATTAGTTCACTTCTTACACTTTTTGTTTGAATTTGATGGTTTCGCGTTTATGATAAAAATTAAAGTTCAGGGAAACAATTGGCCAATAATAAAAGTTTAAAGAGATAGTCGGCTAAACTTAAAATTCATAAAGAAAATTGGTAACTCAATTAATACCTCCTTTTATATATGGCTTCAAATCTCTCAAATGATTTGCATTTGAAACTTATTTTGACTGAATTATATATATATCCCCATGCTTAAAAGAAAATTAATACAAAATTACCAACTAAGACTCGTGCAGTTGTTGTGCGTTTCAAAAGCAGGTCAAGCTATTGTATTATATAATCACTCACTAAATAATTTGAACTAATTATCATTGTGTGCGTGACTGCCTCTGCCTCCTTAAAGCTTGGTCAATCAAACTTGGGATTAGAACTTCTAGAAGTACTCGAAAAGTCTTCCGAAGTCCAAGTTCTCCCATGAATTTCGGTCAAATGATTCAAGGTCCCGACGTCAGTGATTTCGTGGCAGTTATAACAGTGATCCTAATAGCAATACTGAAATGTGAAAGTTTAGTGATTTAGTGCTCTAGTCGGTAAATATCCAGTCTCATCAAGAGAAACATTCGAGAAACAAAGTGTAATTATGAGCGGAGCCAGATATTTTTACAGGAGCGGACCATTATGTATTACTTGAACTACAAGTTTTATTTTAGCAGTTGTTAATGTGAATGAGGCCAACTTTTTCGTTGGGTGCCTTGGCTACGTTCGTTAATCAGATTAACTTCATAAGAAACTAGCATTTGTCTACATACTTTATATGTAATGTATGAACACATTTTTTTAGAAAACGAGAAGGAGAGAGGGAGAGAGAGAGAGAACGTGGGGGGAGTGAGAGGTTTTTGTTTTCGGTTTTTTTTTATAATTTTTTTTCTAATATTGGAGGTAATAAAAAACAGTAAAATTTGAACATGTGAAATTACATTATTACTCATCATTTTTTTTTTGTGTGATAAAAGACCAATTTGTCTTTTCACCATCTTTTGATTGACAAAGAAGATTTTATTAATTAGTAGAGATAACACCTAAAGTTAGGTTTACCCAAATTTTGCATTGGGTTGGAGCTCGCCCTCACCTAAGGTGACTCCGCCCTTAATATATATCTTTTTTTTCCATCCTGCTTAGCGTGAGACAAAAGAATACGAAATATAACGCATACAAAGTAAGAATGTCTCACCGACAAAGGCTAGTGAATAGGGGAGGAAGATATATCATCGATTATACGTAAGCATATCTCCTTAACAAGGGTGCCAACCCCTTATTCAAGGCCCAACATCCCGCTTCAGATCTCGCATGGTGGGTCTTAGTCTTGGTGGTTCGCATGTTGGGTCTTAGTCTTGGTGGTTCGGGAGTCCGGATTAAAGAACTACTCAGCAAGGGTTAGTGAATCATAGTGAATCATTCAAAAACAAAAAAGGGAAGAGTTAGTGAATTGGGCTGATTTATTCAAAATGCATGGCAAGTAGCACAAGAGAAATGATAGGATTAAGAACAAGGATATGCAAGGTAAAGTATGAGTGGGAGCAATTGAAGATAAGATGAGAGAAAATTGGTTAAAAAGCTCTGGACACGTGAACTGAAGATCTTAGATACACCATTTGGAAGATGTGACTATGAAACAGAGGCTCAGGGCAAAAGCGTAGGAAAAAAACTAGGAAGATTTGAAAGGCGACTATAAAGAAGTATATGGAGTACGTGGAGTTAACGGAAGACTTTGTGCAATATCGAGTGCAGTACACATTCTAGGATTCTTACAGCCGACCTCACTTAGTGAGGTAAGACTTAATTGTTGTTGTTTGTATATGGCAAGCAGCAAATACTCTTTTGAAATTGGGCTGGACCCTATTTTTTGAATGACGGGTTAATTTAGGCCTATGAGGATGGTCCATGGCAAACAAAACCAACTAATAATTACTAACTGGCTCAGCCCAATAAAACTTCAACTGAATTTAGCAACTACCTCAGCTGCATAACTGAAACTGAACTCTCCCTCTCTCTCATCCAGAAGTATCATCGCTTATGAGATAAGGGACAAACCTCCTCCCTCCTTCCAAATTTTGCAAATTTCCAAAAACCCACCACCACCATGCTTTCTTTAACAGTAAACTCTCTTAAGCCCTTCTCATCTTTCAACCCCACCACCACCTTCTTATCCTCCACCTCCTTCCTCAACCCCCACCCACCACTCCTCCTGCACCACAAACCCTCCTCCCCAAAACCCATTTCCGCCACCCTCACTCCCTCCTCCAGCACCCAACAACAACAGAAACAAGTCTACCAGCCATTCCGGCCGCCCCCATCTCCAATCCCCTCCAAATTCCGCTCCCTCGACGCCAATGGCCGCCTCGAGATCCTCGCCAACCGCCTCGGCCTCTGGTTCGAATACGCCCCACTAATCCCCTCCCTAACCCAAGAAGGCTTTACTCCCCCCACCATCGAAGAAATCACCGGCATTTCCGGCGTCGAGCAGAACCGCCTGGTGGTGGCGGCGCAGGTGAGGGACTCTTTAGTTCAATCCAACACCGACCCAGAAATTGTTTCCGAATTCGACTTGGGGGGCTCCGAATTGTTGTACGAAATTCGGCTCCTGAGCGTCCAGCAGCGAGCTGCTGCTTCCCGTTTCATAATTGAGAACAAGCTTGATGGCAAAGGCGCTCAGGATTTGGCCCGTTCGATGAAAGACTTCCCTCGTCGGCGGACCGAAAAGGGTTGGGAGAGCTTTGACTATGCCAGCCCTGGTGATTGTTTAGGGTTTATGTATTTTAGGCAGGGGAGGGAGCACAAGAATCCATCCGAACCTAGAACTGCTGCTTTAGAGCAGGCATTGAAGGTTGCACAGACTGATAAGGCTAAAAAAGTAATTTTGAAAGAGTTGGAGGGGGAGAGTGAAGATAAAGAGGAGGAGGAGGAGGATGTTGCGGCGGGGGTTCGGGTTCCGGTTGTGAGGTTGAAGTTTGGGGAGGTGGCAGAGTCGACTAAAGTTGTGATCTTGCCGGTTTGTAGGGCGGAGGAAAAGGATAAGGAGGTTATGGAGGCGCCGTGGGAGTGTACAAGTGAGGGGGAGCTTGGGGTTATGGTGGCAGAGAAGGGGTGGAAGAGGTGGGTGGTGTTGCCGGGTTGGGAGCCAGTGGTCAGTTTAGGGAAGGGCGGAGTGGTGGTGTCGTTCAGTGACGCGAGGGTTTTGCCTTGGAAGGCGAATAGGTGGTATAAGGAAGAGCCTATACTGGTGGTGGCCGATAGGAGCAAGAGAGAGGTGGAAGCCGATGACGGGTTTTATTTGGCGGCCATGGATGGTGAGGGTTTGGGGTTTAAGGTTGTAAGGGGATCGGCATTGAAGGAAGCTGGTGTGGAGGAGAGTTTAGGGACTGTGGTGTTGATCGTGAGGCCGCCAAGAGACGAGACAGACGATCAACTAAGCGATGAGGATTGGGAGTAGAAGTGTAAGAGTAAGAGATGGTCCTTTTGAACCACTCTTTTGTTACAATGGAGATTTATACAACTCGTATAAGGATCTTTGGTAATTTTCCGAGTTATTTTGAACTGTTTTTGTATGTTTATCTTATACGTTCAGAATATATGAAACGATTTTCGACCTCGCTCGATGTGTAGTTAACTCATTCGGTTTCAGGAACAAAACAGAACAGTAATCTCCTGGGAACAAACTGCCACGAGATGAACCCACTAAAAGTTGGAAACGAAAACCCACAGTTCGCACAATCTACGATCGAGCAGGGTTGGAAGATCACTAGAAACTTGGAAACCTAACTTTTTCAGCAAGTCATTAGATGGCTGAGTTTATTTCACCGTCACTAACATAGATACTAGAAGCTAGATACCAGGCACAGGAAAGATGAAATTTTATGAATGGTTTCCGATGGCCGCCCTCGCCCATCGGCAGCGAACTGATAAAATCGGGATTTCATATCGGATGACATACATCATCGCTACTTTCCCCAACACGTTCCTAGGCCTAACTTCCCGACCTAATGCGTTGCAGTAGTGAACTCGATCGAGAGTTTGGTTTCTTTCAAACAGAATGCCTCCTCGACTCTTGTTTAGCTCGTCTAATGCTTCGAGTTTGGTTTCATTCAAACACCATGCCTCCGCGAGGCTTGTTTAGCATGTTTAGAGAATGAATTTCGACGTAGAGCAACCAAACTTAACAAAAATATATATCGATTCAAGTATTATTTGCATTACATGCTCAGTAGGCGTCCAAATTTCTTCAAGCAAAACACAATTTTTGCTTGAAACTTGAAACTAACTAATTCTACCAGCAACCCTAAGCTACGACGTTAATTGAAACTTCACCCAACTATTCAAACATCAACACTCATCTTTTACCTGGCCGCAGTCTTCGATCACAACAGGTTCAGAAGTAGTCCCACTCTCCGAACCCACCTTCTCCATTTTCTCAACAACACTGTATCCATCAACAACTTTTCCAAACACAACGTGCTTTCCGTCAAGCCATGGGGTTCTTGCAGTGCAAATGAAGAACTGTGAACCATTGGTATTAGGTCCAGCATTCGCCATCGACAAAATTCCAGGGCCGGTATGCTTCAAGTTGAAGTTCTCATCAGCGAATTTCGCCCCATAAATTGACTCTCCTCCGGTCCCATTGCCTTTTGTGAAATCTCCACCCTGACACATGAAGTTCGGGATAATGCGATGAAATGTGGAGCCCTTAAAGTGCAGTGGCTTCCCTGATAATCCAATCCCTTTATCTCCAGTGCAAAGAGCACGGAAATTTTCAGCAGTTTTCGGGGTTTTGTCAGCAAATAACTCCATTACAACTCGACCCGCCTTCATCCTTCCGATCAATATGTCAAAGAAAACTTTCGGGTTCGACATTTTCTCTACAACTTCCAATCTGCCCAAACCAATCACAACCACATTAGACCAAACACACAGATCAAATCAATTAACACAGCAATTAATTCACCAAGACGGTACTTTTGACACAATTTTCGTGATCTGACAACGCAATCGGGCAACTTCTTTCAAAATTCTAACACTTTACAAAAACCCAGTAAACAAATCAAGAAACAAATAAAATCAACAAACCCCACCAAAGAACACAAAGAAGTTAATATTAACACAATGTCATCATTCTTCGAAATCCTCGGGCAATGTCGAGAGGATATAATCAAAAAAGAAGAAAGATTTATGATTTCGCACAATTATTGAGCGCATGGGCTGTTCATATCTATCGCCCATAAGCCTTCGATATGTGCTTTTCCTCGATTTATTGTTTGTATTTTTCCTTAGAAATATAATTTCTTTGGAATTGGGATCTAATAGCATCACAGATTGAACCAAAAAAGCCAGCAAATTTGAAATACAGAAATAATTGGGAGAGAGAGAACGTTACCAGCAGATGAAATTTGTATCGAGGACGAACTCTGGAGAGGATGCGATGAGAGGCCAGGGTTTTAGGGGTGTTTATATAGAGGCGCAGGAGGATGAGGGTTTAGGGTTTTGGATGAAAATGGTGATTTATTTTGCAAGGCCGTCCTTGTTTTATGCGGTATTCTTCCATTTGCCCCCTTTCTATTTTCTTTTAGGCTTAAGTGTTTTTGTACCTCGGAAATTATGGTCAAATTTTACAGATTTTGTTACAATATTTACATAAATTATTATGTCGACAGTCATAAAATGATTAGTGACTTTATTAAGTACATGTCTGTATTGTATTCAGTCGTCAAATTTCACATTGCATTTCGAAATTTGTGATGACTCATCTTGTTATGTGATTGATATTGTGCGTCTCACTTTGCCACTAACCCGTTTAGTTTGTAATGAAATTTTTGCCAAGAAAGCAAAATGGGTCATTGTAATTTAGGATTCCCACATCTTAGCCATTCATCGTGTATCAGAAATCATTTGATTTTTTTATTTAAAATTAAACACAAATAGTATCTAACGAAAACTCACCGCACAATACACGATAAACAACTAGAGATCTCCACAAAATGGATCGGAGAGGATCCCTTTCCGATGGGGTAACACGAGATTTGACCATAGTTTCAGACAACACAACAGCTACTCAGCTTGAGAAATGTCATTGTGCGTGTGTCATACGGCCACAAGGTGGTACTATTTCATGAGTTTTTTTTTTTTTTTTTTTGAACAAACGATGTTATTTGTAGCAAATGATAACTATTTAACATTAATTCTAAACGTAATTAATTCATTCATATCAACAATTACAGTAGTCTAGATCAACAACTACAAATTTTACGCATTTTTCCTTCTAAAGAATGATCAACGTCCATACCGATAGTATGTTGTCATCCAAGCCACATTTCAGTTTTACGATCCCCACTATTTCCAACTGAATGCCGAATGCTAATCTTCTCAGTAGCATACTTCTGCTGCAGCCACTCGAAATCATTGACATCGAGTTTCCCAGTGACCGATTTCCCTTGTTTTCTATGATTATGCTGTTCCCGTATGGAAGCCCAAAGTTTCTCAATGGCACTCCTTTGTTTCGATGTGAACCTTGCTATGTCATCAAAAGCGTGCTTGGCTAATATGTCTATGACGGTTTGGCACCTGCAAAGTAAAAGCACAATATAACATAAGAAATTCTAGCTATTCAGGTGATAGTAGGTTGGATACTAAGAAAAGCACATCGAATAATTTGAAGTTTTCCAGTACCTACCATGGGGTTTTATAACACCGAGCAGCTATCTCTAAACAAAGAACCAAGGCTTCTCTTTTTGACCTGAGGAATCTCTTGGTCTCTTCCTCCTCACTTGTGATCATGTTATCTGTTTTTCCCTTTGTTTTATCATCTTTCTTCGTAGAGGCAGGAGTTAAAAATGCATCAAGCCCAAACGGATCAGACTCCTCATCATTATTTTCCGCTGGTGCAGCTGAAGTCACGTCCTGCTTTGTCGGATCATCTTCATTTGCTAAATTTGTATCATCTTCCAGCACAGCCGCTTCCTCTCTGTCATCATCCTCAGTTGCAACAGGCAGATTAGATATGGCTTCCTTTAATCGTCCAGCTGCTTTTGAAAACTTTGTAAACGTTCACATAACAAATGCTGACAAGAAAAAGAGGAAGAAAATGAAGGACAGAAAAAAAGGCAAGTCAGGCATGGTGAATCATAAAAACAATTAGTAGTTCCAAGCCGAAATTCATTCCTTGGATGTTACATGAAATATATGGTTTGTTATATGATTCAAAAACTATGATCACAAACTATGGCATAGGAGAAGTCCTTACCAGGAAGCTGTCGTTGGTGAATAACTCATTTGCCATCACTGCCCTGATAGTCCACGTAGTTAACTGATTCTTCTGCTTTTTACTGAGACGCTAAAATACAAAATTTAAGCTATTAAGTTGAGTATATAACCAGTATTAACATTATCATGTACCACATGTAGACTTATAGATTACGGTCTTACCTCAGAGGCATCTTGTGCTGCTGAAAACAGTGCATGGTAATCGGCTCGCATGGAAGGATCAGTACAAGCAGTAGGAGATGCCATTGCGGCTTCCAGTATCGAAAAAAGGTAATCACTAGTCTCAGCCTTGACACTTCACGCCTGAATCAGCTGGATGGCAAGCTTTGATGCCTTACTAAATTTCGCAGGAGTCTTTATATGAGAAGCTATCTTCTGCATAGCCTCTATCACCTGTTGCTCTGAGGCATCCGTCATGGTTTTAAACATCAACCTTTTCTTTTCTGGCACAGTTTCTAAAAACCAGTTCCAACATATTAGCTCATTTCAAAACATTGGTATTTCACAGAAGTTGCATCAATGAAGAAATCAACAAGAATCACACTTTATTAAAGCGTCAACACTCCAATTTCCAGCTAGAATTCGAACACTACGAAACTGTCGACGCGGGATTTCTAGATAGATTTTGAACACTAAGAAACCGCATTTCCAAAATTATTTCAAAAGATTGGTGTTTCACAGAAGTTGCATCAATGAAGAAATAAACAAAAATCAAACTTTATTAAATCGTCAACACTCCGATTTCCAGCTAGAATTCGAGCACTACGAAACTGTCAACACTCCGATTTCTAGATAGATTTCGAACACTAAGAAACCGCATTTCCTTTACGAGAAGCTACATTCCCAAAATTATATCAAAAAACTAATATTTTCAAAGAGCATAACCTCTGTACATTATTTAGTGATGCAAATTACAATAACTAAAACAAATGCAACCCAGATAGATAAATGAGTTCAATTTTCCTTCCATGGGTTTTCGACAGCGAAAAAGAAAGTAAAACTAAAGCCCTAATCAGGCACTATTTGCAGCCGTTGGAAATATAATCAAAGAATTTAAAGGTAAAGTAACGGGTTTTGAAGCCATATATTAAAAAAAAAAAACAAAGAAATTACCTTCGGGGATCGATTCGGCGGGCTTCGGCCGCTTGAGGGCAGGTTTGATAATTGGTTTTGGGGCAGCAGCAGGAGGAAAAGGAGGAGGAGGAGCAGGAGCAGGGGAAGAAGAAGAAGAAGAAGAATCGCAGCTAAAAGAAGCGGTCTTTCGAGGTTTTGGTGGTTTTTGTGGTTCAGGCGGCAGTTGCCGGAGTTGAAGTTCAGAAGAAGAAGGAGGAGGAAGGTT